ACCACTTCACCGTTCTGGCTGCTCTTACAGCAGAGTGGTCAAGTATGGGTACTTCAGTTTATGAAACCAAGGGCCCTCTGTCAGGGCCTTCCATTTTAGCTTATACACCTCACCGTGTCACAACCAGACCTTCCTCCGCAAAGTGTCCGCGGTTAAGTTTCGTAATTATCCCAGTGATGGGTGTATTGTGCCCTGCGTTGAATGCATGACAGGAAAGAGTTTGACACGAAAGAAGTATGCACCCGAAAATTAAAAAGTAATGTTTTGTTGCTATTTTATTCAATAAACCACACCGGATATTACGCTAAAATAATAATTTAACCACAGGCATGTACAAAAGGTTATGTGAAGAACTAATGACGCATTGTTTCTTTCAACTGTTTAATTATAAACTATGACGCCAACAGCAGGTATAATTTAATAATACTGCATAATTTAGTAATCCGCTCTGTTGTGTAATTTCTGCTACATTATATTTTTCTGGTATAATATGAAATTTTGCGCCGTCGCCATGTTTGCAGTTGTTTACACAAGGCATTGTTTCATAAATTGTTTGTAGGCACATTCTCCATACAAAATGCCACATGCTAACTTTAATAGCGCATTAGTTGGAAAAATATGATTTAAAAGAGAGAAGAAAACAGAAAATTGAAAACAAGAAAGAGAAGAAGGACCAGAACAACGAGAAAGAGGCGAAGATAAAAAAAGAATTTGAGACTTTCGCGGCGAGTACAAACAATAAAATCTTCTCGGACAATCAGCCGCGTCAACTTGTTACCGTAGTAAACCGACGTTTCGGGAACCAACTCTGTCCCCATCATCAGAGTTGGTTCCCGAAACGTCGGTTTACTACGGCAACCAGTTGACGCGGCTGATTGCCCGAGAAGATTTTATTGAAGAAAAAGAAGTTTGAAAATAAAGAGGAGTAGAAGGTTAAAGGAACGAGACCGAAGGAAAAGAATAATGATAAAGAATAGAATGAGGAGACAGCAACTGAAAGTTACTTTTATTTCTGTATATATAATCACTCTACATTCTCAGTCTTCTGTAAACTTTTGTAGAAATAAAGACAGCTAAAACATGCTGCGATCGATATATCTGATATACAGATTGTGTCAGAACTGTGGTTACGATGGAATTGTTCAGCAACCTTGTTTTTCTGGACTGTCGTTGGTGAACGAAACACCTCCTTCAAACTCACAACCACTCTTCTGAGCTAAAACACTAATATAAAAAATAAATAAAAGCCAACATAGTAAATATATTATCATATCAGTGTGAACAATATTTTGACAATCTCTACATTTTAAATCCACTCAGATTCGACGCAGAAAAGTTTTCTTTGAATTTAAAAAGACAGAGGATATGTCATCTCTCTGAATCATTGATTCGTGAATGCAGTTGGAGAAGCATGATGCTTCCACGTTTTATTTTGAGAAGTCGTTAAGAATAAAGTTGAATGTTGTTTTAGGGATGTGTGGGTAATGCCGGTAGCTGAAGCATGTGTCGAACTGGGCGACTAGACTGTGAAAGCCTTCAGTATAAGAAATCTTGGTTTTGAGTGTGTTTTAATTGTTATCTTCAGCTACGCTTCCAGGAAATTTAAAACGCCATTAAACAAATACTCTTAGAGAAATCTGGAAAGATATTACAGATGGAAATGTTAATGATCAGGAACAGTTCTGTCACGATAGGGACTGTCTAGGGGCTTGAAGACCGAGGTTCCATTTCCTGCACTTACTGGAAGTTGAAGATTTCTGTCTTCTGGGTTGTTGCGCCGTGTAGTCTGGTAGATGTTAACCAACGTTTCAGACGTCATACTACCTCCGTCATCAGGGCGATGAGTATGAAGATTTCAGTCTTCTGGGTTGTTGCGCTGTGTAGTCTGGTCGATGTTTACCAACGTTTCAGAGGTCATACTGCCTCCGTCATCAGGGCGATTGGAAATACATTTTGTTTCCATCTTCAGGGCTAAAGCAGCGATGGTAGGAAGTGAAAAGATTTCACTTCCTCTAAAATAATATATATATATATATATATATATATATTCACTCCTCAGTGTTGTTATTTCAGCCCTGAAGATGAAGACAAAATATCTTTCCGAAACGTTTGTATTTATCTGCGAGTCTTTACGATGTAACAACCCAGAAGGGCAACATCGCCATCCGTACAGTCATGAAAACCTCAGTTTTCAAATATAATTAACAGTTTTCTGGATATCCCTAGTATGGTAAGATTCGAACATTAGAAAAGTGTCACACTTCATTAAAAGTGCAGTAGATCGAGAAGTATCCGTGCCGTGCAGATGAGTGGATTTCTTGTCGACTGAAAGTTCTGGAGTCTTTTCGCAGGGTATGGGAATCGATACAACGTGCCTAAAATACTGAAGTTGATTTGTGAGATACATCAAACTCCTTTTCGTTGGTAATCACGCGGAACCAACGAATTTCATCATGTTTCGAACGTCATATACAGCCTATCTCATATTTAACTTCATAAAACAGGATTCAGGTAATGTGGATTCACATCACAAGACTTGCCATTGGAAGCACTCGCATGGGATAAAATGTCCGGGTGCTCTTTGAAGTAAGTCTAGGTGATTGCCACGATTACCTCAGCATTCATTTGTTTTAATGTCCGTCATTATCACCAAAACCATTTGTAGCTGTGTTTATTAATCAACTAATCTGCTCCCGAAGAAGTATTTCCAATTTTAATTAGAACACTGCCGGGCGATTAACATATTTTGAGGAGCAATTAATGGTTTATATTTTATTTAACATTTCAGAGAGTATACGCGATCAAAATTTATGGTGATTGGTTAAAAATTTGGAAGGAGATGGTTGTGACTGTTAACAAATTTCATAACAACGTTATCCTGTAGGGAATGAGGAAACACGCGAATAGTAAATCTTTAGTTGGGAAGCAATTACTTCTATGCACGTAAAATTTCTTTAAAGTACATACTAAAATTTTGTGTCTTGGTTTAATTACCTTTAACGCTATTTAATAGTTACTACTTTACGGCAATATTTTGTGCTGAAAAATATTACAACAGGACAAAACAGCGTGGTTCTGTTGCATTTATGATTGTTCATACTGAAGAGAAATTACAGAGTTAAAATTGTTAATTTAGCAAACACGTTTAGGATAAATAATTCCATTATGTAAACGTTTGGTGCATTACATGTAAATTTGTATGGCATGCTTCCTGTTTATCATGTTTTGTCACAAAGTCAAAAGAAGAAATTTTTTCCAAAAACTGCCAAGGATAGCATGTTTAACAAAGATTATATTTCGCTAACGGATATTTTACAGCAATGCTTGTACTTAGACATCCCTTACTTTTCTTTATTCTTATTCTGTGGGTGTCATATTGTATATTTTACCGTGTTTCTTTTTGTTTACTTTTATTTAATGTTATTTATAGCTCCTCTTTTGTGTTGCTGTTCTTGCACTGTTCTTTAGAGTGCTTTGCTGTAATGGCCTTGTTTGCCTGTCAAGCAAATGAATAAGCTAAAATAAATTAACATTTAAATATTCCGTAGTTAAACGCCTTTTTGCAATAGCATTTGCATCAAAAACGAATGCCTCTAATACACGTTGTGACGTAGTGCGTTCTGCATGTACCCTGCGCGAGCATGCCAGTAACATTCTCTCTTTGACTCTGACTTAATGATAAAGTATATGATTATTGCACTTTTAACACGTTGTGTATGCTTAGCTTTGTCATTGTATTTCATTACTAACGCCCTTTGAATTTTCAATACATTTAAAGTTTCCAAATATTTCCTCCATTTGCCCATTGTTTATGTTATGACAAGACATCGATACATGTGCGTACGTAATTACGTGCTTATGTATATCTGTATGCATGCGTAAGTCATGTGTGTGTATCGTATTCTAAACAAGCCTAGATTTTATTTCATACAATTTAATTTTAATTTTATCACTTTATCCCTTCACACAAAACATTGATATGGTAAGTTACTTATGAAATGTTGGCGTACTGTAAGTTCAGATCGTCCACATTGACGACAAAGTATAATAATGACAGAACGAGGCACCACTCTTCTAAATGCCTCATATTTCGAAATATTCAGTTGATGGAATCACGGTAGCAGGTCTGTATTATACTTCGTACCGCTTGTAAGATTTCCACAGGTTGAATTATGTGTTGTAACTTACCAGTAAATTTGCAGCTGCTACACCAATGCTGCTTTTGCGAAGAAACGGATTGCCTGGCTTGACGTATTTTATGAGTCTTAATGAGTGTGTTTCATCGTAAATAGGTAGCAGAAGGTAAATTCTACTAACATTGTTCAGAAAATCTTCCTTAATCTTGTTTTATACCGACATTTAAACTTATCTGTGTAGACATATATTTAGTATTTAATTATTTCCTTTATATTTGTGTTTATTGGCGTATCAGTTCTATGATTAAATATTTTCGTTTCTTATTTATAAATTTAACTTTCCAGTTCCTTAGGTATCTATAATTTGTATTTCTTAAATTAATTAATTTATTTCTTTGTTTTGGTGAGGATTTTGCTGATTAAAATTCATGCGATAAGCTTGGCAGCATTAGCATAGACTACGTGTTGGGACCTCACTATATATAACGTGGGATGTAATTTACACATTGCTGGGTAAGTACAGAGAATCTGGGGTACAATATTCCACTCTTGTTTTGGCAACTGCGTCACGAAACACGTACGAATAAAGGACGCACAGTACCCACGGCTCTCAAACACAGTACTTAGTACTCCCCATAAGTTTTAAGCGCAGCCTATACAGAACCACGTTAACACCAACCGCTAACATTGCATATCCATTTACTGTACATAAGGCTGGACAGACTACGGCGTCCTTCTCCACAGCGCAGTTGTAATACACCTGCCTTTTATCTTTCTACATTTACTCCTCATATTGGTCAGTCAAATTCCTAGGCTTCTACGAAGCAGTAGGGTCTAACTGTGCTGTGTTTCCCTGTGACCCAGCAGCGTCTGCTGACCTCACAACGGCCAGATCGGAAGGTGGGGCGATCAAGATAGATCGAGCCCGTTACAGACACGACCCTTACAGCAGGTACACGGGTGTCAAACTGCCGCTGTAAAACCGCAGTGGATACATCAGCTGGAGGAACTTCAGCGAAACTGCCTCGAAGAATGCACTGACAACAGCGCTTGTTCACCAGACGTCACGACGCTAGGTGCCGATCCAGATATTTTACGTGTATCAGTATTATGTTCGATATTCTTAATCGTCTGAGGTGTTTTGATATGTAGGCCTACGATGTTTTCTAAGGTCATTATACTCGAGACGTAGCGTGTATTAAATACCTCAGTCGATAATGTCTAATTATATCACCGTTGTCACAAATCTTCAGAGAATCATGAGATTTCTTGTCCGCCAGTGTAAAGGAAATGTAGACTTGATTATAAAATTATACGAGATCTGAACTGAATTTATCTGAATCAGAAGAGACCCTTTAATCCCGTTACGAGTTACTGTGAAGATGGCAATGAACCTTCGGGTCCTATACAACACGGAATTTCATGACGAGTTGAGGGAGTGTTAACAATCTTGCCGACAGGGACCGTTTCCATGGTTTTAGTTAATCACGTGCGTGTTTTTTAAAAGGAAATTTTAGTTTCCGATAAGGTTGTTTATCTTCACGCTGGCCGACAGAAATTGAAGGTTGCAGTGCGAAAGGGGGAAGCCCCCAGTTGTGCCTGAAATTAGTTTTGCGTGGTTTTATATGCAGAATATCTTCCGAACGGCGCCGCCCGTCACTAGTTACAATGCTGAATTAAACTGGAATCTCGTCGTGTTGCGGTTTGAGCAAGAACAAGGTGGCTTCAGGATCAGCCTCGTTTTTCGAGAAAATCTGCAGCGCGTTGTATCCATATTTGTTAATATTTTAGAGATTTCACTGCTAAAGTGAGGCAGTTCCAAAGCGTTTGTTATTTTTTTGAAAAAATACAAATGGCGTCAGTGCAGTATCACATAATTAAAACTATATCCTGTGAAGAAGGTAAATAAATACAATAATTATAATTGTTATGTGTATTTTTCCCCAAGAGATTGTTAAATTGGGAAGACGTGTATTTTGAACTTGACTTCTCCATATTGCTCACAATATGGTGTCATAAGAATATGATATGCCAAAAGGGAATACAAATTTCGTTCTTGAAGAGTGGTAAGCCGCTCACAGATTGGGAAAGCGTGTTAAGAAATTGCTCTCAGCATATTTCTATTATTTTTGTGACTACCTAGTCATCAAACCATTCTTTCTCCTTGTATCAATAATTATTGGTAAAATTCTGCAACGCAGACGCACAGCGCTCAACTTTGACTGCATTCCCAGGAAATTAAATAGAGTCACTGTTTTGAAAGCTTTTAATAACCACAAAACAGTTACGAACAATTAACCAGGCTTTACAAGTTTATTTTTCTAAATGTAGATGGTCAGTGGGGACAACTTACATTATTCAGAGCCTTCGTATATTTGTTGTAAACCAGTCCACATTGTTATTACGCTGATATTTTTCGTGGGTATTTTGTGTAATGTGTTTGCTTACTGATTGGAGTCGCTCTAATTTTGTTTTGAGATAAACGCTAACGAAATTCCTGGCAAACAAAATCATATTCAAACGCAGTTCCAGAAGGAACATTGTTTCGTTATGAATGCTAGGGATGACGGTTTTTCTTACCGTGAACACTACATATGCGACTGTAGCTAGCAAACTCCCCGATTCGGGGGCACTTATAACACGCCGTCAGTTATTAACCCATTCCATGATATGCACTAGCCATTTCTCTTGAAATTTGGTCAGTTCGATGTTTATTTGGTTTCTTGTGAGATTAACGGAGCTCCTACGGCCAACTCTCGACAGCTGAAGATACTAATATTCTTTATTTTCAACAATATAAATTTTACATTGGCGTGTTTATATACTAACCGAAAACGTTTCTTTAAGTGAAAAGGAAATTTGGATTAATTTATTCAGCACAAGTTGTTGTCACAAAGTCTTCTGTCAGTATGCAGTGTTTCCAATGTTTTGGCAGCAAACACAGAAAGTACAATGCATAAATTACGCGAATGCAACGTTTTGTGCAAAAAGAGTGCGAAAATCAGTTGTTGCTATTTTAATTCACTGACATATCAGACGTTATAGATCCTTTCTACGCTTATAAGTTCTATGAACTCCGCTCTCTTACAAATGACGTAAATTACTGAGATTTTATTTGTTTAAAAACTTTAGAAAGGGGACGTACTTACATCGTTCATATTCTAAACTCTTCATTTGTGTTAAATTAAGCGATAAATATGTAAGAGCGGTGATATCAGTTTACTTAACAAGGCTGTAGATCAGGATCCAGTCGTACGCTAATCTTTTTTTATCACATCAGTAAGCATCAACTTTAAACGCCGGGCGAGACATGCAAGTAATTTCGTTTTACGTTTCTTAGCTACGTGTCTAGCACAAGTCAGATCAGAAATTGTCGTCTACCCGCGGCCGAACTATAATCATTAAGTAGCCTATATAAATCTGAGTAGGTTTTAGCTTTTCACGGTGGTGAGTCATGAAATGACTGTCTTTGGGTTGTACTGCCCTGATGATGAAGGCAGCAAGGACCTCTGAAACGCTGGTAAACTTCCACTAGACTGCACGGAGCTACAACCCAGAAGACAGCCATCTATATGTTGTTTTAAATACGTGTGAAACTTGATTTTTCGCGTTACAGAAATAACATAGATAATTGATTTTACAGAGAAGAGTTTCTGTAGGATGTATGGATTAAAGAGTGATGACAGTTTCCACTGGAGAAAAAGATTATTCTTTTCCTATCATTGTTAGAGTGACTAAATACCGTCATCACTCTGTAAGAGTCGGAGGATTTCTTAAAGAGCTAAGCGACTAATAGCTTCTCAATATGGAATATGCACCACGGAGTTAGATTAACTAAAATATTAAATCAGCGGGTCCATGTAACAGAAATAGGAGGACGTCAATCAATCATTCATATGTTACAGGAACACTCGACTTTGCTTTATAAAATATTATTTTAATTTTTCTCAGTGCATTGCCCCTAATCTCCGTAGTTTAAAACATAGGTAGACCGGCGGGGGGGGGGGGGGGGGGGAAAAAAGCCGCTCCACACCCTGAAGGAAGTGACGGAAATTATTCACGACACGTTATATTGTGAGAAGTCTGTTTTGCCACATATGAACATTAATAAGCCATAGTACGCTTCGGTAAACAGGCACGGATCCAGCTTTCTATGCACAAAAAGCAGATAGATTTTCTGAAACTGACTCAGCTTCTTAGCGGTCCGTGACTCGCAGAATATTCCGACCAGGAGTTCTTTCTCCCCCCCGCGAGCCTTGCAACCTCCCGTCCCATACACCACACATAAATCACGTATCTTATCTTCCACCTTCCGAAAGGAGTACAATACCTTTTCAGATACTCCGACGTTGCAGCGTGTTACTGTTTTCCATAAGCTGCCTCCCCCGTGGAAGTGCAACAAGGTTATATGTGACAAAATAACTTATAAAAGTATCTGTACTTACGTACCGATGTTTCAGAGGTGCTTTCTAGCTCCATAATCAGTTAATAAGCACCTCTGCAACGTCGGTAAACGTCTACCCGACTACATGGCGCAACATCCCAGAAGACGTTCATCTTTAGACTCGTACGAACCGAGAACCCGAAATCCCACCGCCAATGCGTTTTCATGCTGAAGAAACCGAATTTCTAAATATTCTTTAGATGAAACTCGGCTTCGAAAGGAAACAGAGTTTAGTTGTCAACAGATGGGTGAATATTTTTGTATTAAAACGAAACTTTTTTAGAAGTGTAAGTGGAAAAGTGTAAGTGCAAAATTAACTTTCGGAAGCGTCGGCAGATGTTACAAATTATAAGAAATTTATATCTTGAACAGCTGTGTGTGTTAGGTCAAAAGCTTCTGTTTTAAGAAAACAATTTATTTCAGGAACCCCTTTATATATGCAGCGGTTAACACTTTACGTATTCGTGAGGTGTCGGGTGTGAATCTCGTAACTTAGCATTTCCGATTGAGGTCTTTTGTGATTTTATTCAGTACTTCCAGGAAAATTCTCTGACCGTATCTTACAATTGGCCAGCAGCACTTTTTACAGTATCGTTTCCAGGTGAGTAATTCACGATCATCTACGGTAAATAATCAGTGTAGTTGATAAAGCTGCGTTAAATAGCTTAATATTATTTAGTCCACCAATAGAATAATAAGATTTTTACTGGCTCAGCGGAGTATTTCTAGCTGAATTTTGTGAACACGGTGATGACCGAACGGATTCTGTAAAAAAAGGGGTAATTTGTCGTCTACATGAATAACTATCAGCCTCTCAAAGAAAATTCTGTCATCAAGTTATTACCCATAGTGGAATGTAGGGTACTTAACTTTGAATCAAGCTGTGCGTCTGGAACTTTAAGTAACGCTTTTTAAAAAAGGAAATGAATTGTGTTGGAAAATTGAACATTTATTGGACTTTGGCTCCCCGTCGAGTTAGAATTTTCTCATTAAAGCTTTGGCGAATTGTGTTTGTTTTTTCAATTGAGGGCAAAATTAATTGGGGTATAAATTATTTAAAACGGGCATGTCACAAGCGACGCTGGTTTCTGCCATATGGCCCCACGCTGTCGGCAGAAGACGATGAAAATGGATCTGTGTCTTTTTCCATTTCGTTGGGGGTCTTTGTAAGTCATTCAGACACACCCATTTTATTGTGCAGGGACTTTATCAAATATTGATAATTAATGTGATTAAAATGTCGGGTCTTATCGATCTCGAAGTTTAATAACAGTGTTACAAAATCGCGCCTTTGGTTTCTATCCAAACCACTTTAATCCACTCCACTGCCTACTCCTTTGAAAATCATTTTAGTATTATCTATTATCTACGCATAGATGTGCGATGTATACCCTTTCCTTCTAAAATCTTTTATGCATTTCTCATATATTCATGTGAGTGCTACCTATGTTGCTTAAGTTCTTCGTAACCTGGTGGTAAATTTTCGGATTGTAGTTGATTTTTGATGATGACTCTAACTTTTTTAAGTCGATAGAAATTCTGTTTAAGTGACAGAATTTTATAGGCTTGGAATGGCCGTTACAAGAGATTCCTCGATTTGTGTTTATTATCCGGGCTCTGTGATTGTTCTCTTAATATAATTCCCTTGCAAGACGTCACATTTTACGTTGCGGCCAGAGGAATTACAGGAAAGTAAGGGGAAGTACTGATGTCTTGGCAATTTTTACTACTATTTTTAAGTTTGTGAACGTTTCCGTTTCCGAAGTCAAACATGTGTGAATTGCACAACTTTTTCTCAGAGTCTTTCTGGGATTTGCCGGTTTCTGGGGAACGCTTTCTGAAGTTTAGTGTGGCCTACCAACATGGGGAAGGTTTGGGGCGATCCATGGAAGGGAAGGGGTTTGAGCAAACCATCGACAGGGGAGAGGCTGCACATGGCGAAACCCCAGCACCAGAGGATTACAACACCGATTGGCTGTGATGGAAAACAGACACCCATACTCAAAGTGAGATCAGAAACCAATCTCTTGAATTTTGTGTTTCTTAAACAGCGCAAATACGAGTATTGAATTAAAACTTTACAAATTCTTTTTTACATATAAAAATAAACATGGAGGGATGTTCTTAACAGAACATCGTGATAATATCTATGTAAGAGGATTTAGGTCTTTTCAGTTTTGGCAAAATGTTGGTGCCTGCAGCTGCTCAGGTGTACGTACCTCAAGGCGTGAATTGCCAGCCGTGTGCACGCGGGTACCTTTTGTGCCCTCGGAATATTTTTTGGGTATCCACGAGGTTTTCAAAATATTTATAAACAGTTTGAAATGTTTACCTGTTTAATTGTCCGATGATTTGTCTCGCTGTCGCAATATATCGCTTCGAGGCAGTTGATTTAGCAGATACGAGAACACAATCAAAATCTAATTATTTCAATTTGTGTCTGTTTTGTATAATAGATTCATACGGTTTGCGTTATAATTGTAAGCTCCTGCAAATAGATGAAGATCCCTACCAGTGGAGAATTGCTGTTTAGGATTTGAGGTTTCGACGGCTGTGA